CACAGCCAAGATTTGGCGATGCTTCGACAGGCGCCACCTTCGTACTACATCATTCCCGGCGGAAGCCAAATGACACTTCCGTTGATGAGATGGACATTTCGAGGGTTTTCGATCGCGCTGTGGACGAAGCTGCCATTGTCTCAAGAGGGCAAGAAAATCCGCCTCTTCAAATTCTACAGCACGAGCAAATGCCAGGGCGTGGAATGCCTGATCACCCCGCTCAGTAACGACAGAGTCACGCTGACGATGTCATCCATCACGGACGAAAAAGGTTGGCGCCACGTGAGCTCGCAGTTTCAATGGGCTCCCGATTCGTGGCACTTTGTCGTCCTCTGCCATCGCCAGCACTACCTCAAGAAAAGTCACGTTGTGTGCTTCGTCGACGGAGTCCGTGTTATGAATGAAGACCTGTCCTTTCCGGCCGTCATGGGGCCCATGGTTCAATGTCTCGTCGGCGGCACCGACATCAACAGTGTCATGGGCGACTCGCACATTTCGAGCATGACCATGTACGAAGACGAGCTCCATGCCGACGCCATCGCGACGCTGTATCGGTACGGCCCAACACAAACGTGTCTTCGGCGCATTCCCACGGGTGTCAGCCCGTTCCAGCACTCGATCGTAACCACAGACACTCTATGCCCGCTCACAACCGTGGAAAAATCCGCACTGTCCCACCAAAACAGTCAACTGAAGGTCGTGTTCTCGGTCAGCGCCGACGACGCCTACCTTCCCAACGACACGACCGCCGGCCGTCTCTGCGTGCAGTGGACCAGCGAGGGCGAGTTCGACGATACCGGCTGGACTCGGCTGAAAATGGACGCCGCAGACGTCGAGTTCCTTCCTCAACGGCAGATCCTTCTCGACGACGCGGTCACAATCGTGACGCAGCCGAATCGGTCGGACGATTGGTTTCACCATGGCGGGATTCTGTCGATCCCCGTGTTGCTCGATCGCTTCCTCGATGCCAACGCGATGACGCAGACGTTGCTCACGGACGCTCTACACGTCATGCAAGAACTCTTGCGCACGAGCGTCGCCCATCAAGAAGACATGCTCCACGGGTACGGCTTCCACGTCGTCAGCCACGTCCTACGCGCCCACGAGTCCCAGATGCGCGACCTCTTGACCCCGAGCATCGCGACCACGTGCGTCGAGCTCGTGCTGAACCTGTGGCCGTCGAGTGAAACGCACCAGTCGATGCCGCTGTTTGCGGCGGGCGTCCACGGCCTCCTGCTCGACTTTCATTTGTGGACCCTGGCTCCGTACAAGACGCAGAGCCTCCTGATCCAGCAGATCCTGGTCTTTGTGACCCAACATCCTCGTAGTTTGGACGTTGCGATCCAGGCCCAGCACATTGTCGACATCTTGCGAACGTTTTACGGCCATCGCGTCCTGTCGGACCCGTCGTCGGCATGGATCGCGGAATGCGTGGCGTCGCTCGTCCTCGTGCTCAATCGGTCGCTCGCCGCCGTCGACGAGAAGCAAGTGCTTCAGGTTGGTCAAGACGGAGGGTCCAACGCCCCTCCCGTTCGGGTCCCGTTTCGCCTGGTCCAGGACCTTCGCACGATCTGCCGACTCCTGGTCATCTCGACCGACAACGCGCTGGTCACCCGAGCGATCCTGAACAACCTGTGCGAAACCTTCGAGGCCGACGCGGCGAAGCGGGTGTCATGTGTCGCGGCTAACGTCGTTGAAGTGTTGATGCTTTTGATGGGACCCAAACACGGTTGGGACGTCCGCTTGATTGCCATGCGCCTCTTCGTGATGTTGTACGAATGGATGGAATCCGACGCGGGCCGTGCCGCGTTCCACGCGCTCGAGCGACAGTACCAGTCGGAGGCGGTCGCAGACCCGAAGCTCTGGAACGAACTCGCACACGACAGTGTGTTCAACATGGGGCTGCAGCACTCGATTGCCCTGAATGACGTGACAAACCGGGCGATCGAAATGCCGCTCTCGGACCAAACGCCGTCGCCACCGTCGTCTGCATCGACACCAGCGAGAAAGGAAACAAAGGATTGTGGCAAGCCTCCCCCGTCGTGGTGGAAATTGTCGTCGTCGAATCGACTCGTGCTGACGTTTTCCGATCGCCTCCTCGTCCTTCGCTCGATTGCGTTGCGTCAGTTCCAGATCGGCGTTTCCGACTCTGCGACGGACCTGCAGGTCGCCGTCAGTGCCGCGGTCCCGTCGCTCATCGCGCTTCCCTTGCGTGGCATCCTTCCATTCGTGTCGGTGTTGTTTTCAAATGCGGCCATCACCCCACGCGATCGCGACAAGGTCCTGATGGAAATCAGCGTCGTTGTCAAAACGGACAACGGCGTCCAGATGCAGCTCTTGGACGAGCCGTGGGTCGTCTGGTTTGGCGACTTGCTCGCGTCTTGCGCCACTCAAGCCACGGGCGAAGACCTTGTCCTGGACACCATCATCACGCTCATGTGCCGTGCGCTGTACAATCCCCACGGATACCTGTGCCTCGACAAACTCTTTGCCAAGTTTCCGAGTCTGCCGTGGCGGCGCCGCGTCCTCGCGCTGATCTTTATTCGGACAGCGCGAAACAAAGCGATGCTGTCGAGGTCCATGGCGGAAAACCTGTATCGGTTGCTCATGGCCGCAACGTTTCTGCTGATCCAAGACAGTCACGAACAAGCAGAGGTCCTCATGTCGGCATGCTTGGACATCACCGAGTTGCTCTTGGAAAGCACACACAACAAACATCGCGCGGGCGTGATCCCGGGCCTGCGACTTTGTCGCCTTTACCTGGCACACATGCCACCCCCCCTGCCCCACCGGATGCTCCAGTTGCTCGCGACCGGGTTGCAGCAAGAAGTGAGCCACCGCATGCCGATTGACGAAAGCATTCAAACCCAAGATATGCTCCGCCGCGTCCTCAGCAGTTTGGCCCTCGCCCGCACCGTCAATCCAGCCGTCGACTGCAGTGAACTCGTCCTCCGCATCGCTACGTGCGGCTTGTTTGACAAGATGGACGAGCTGTCCGTGGAGCGACTGGGTGCGATGGACGCAGCGTCCGCCGTCGACCACGTCTTCAGCATCCTCGTCGACGAGCCCGAGTGTTTGCATTTTGATGAAATCGTCGACTGGACGCTGTGGATGCCCAAGTGGTTTCCCGTCTCTGCATTGTCAACTCCGTCTCCCGACCATGGGATGAAGAGCGCCGTGGTCGACGCTGCGTCGCAAGTTGAAGAAAAGCGTCTCTGGGAGACGGTGAAAGAAATATCCAAAAAGGAGACGGACCGCATGGCATGTCATGACGTCGGAGTCGATCGGCGGCGCCAGTGGACCGCGCGCAACTGGGACTACCAACGGTACAAAGTACTGACGGAGCAGATCGCATGGGACACGACTGGCAGGTGCTGCTGCATCTACCCCAGCACTTTCTTATCGTCCAACCACCCTCGCCACGAATACCAATTGACTCGTCATGAAATGCCACATCCGTCGCGGCGGCGCCACCGCATCGACGTGTACTTCAAGCCAACGATGTCCTCGCCCGCCCAACCTGTCGCTGTCATTTCGCGAGACGAGCTTGAAAAAGTGGGTCGTGCGATCGCAAAGCAGGGCGGTGCGGTTCTTGATCAAAGCACGGCGCCGGCAGAGGACGCGACCGAGTTCGACTCGACGCTCCAACCCACATCGCCCCGATCGATCGATGACGACGACGACGATGATGCTGACAAAGTGTCGATGCCGGCTCCATCGCACGTGTTCGCATTTCTCCATCCGTCCAGCGGCTGCGGCGTCCAGCCCAACGATCGCGTGTACTTGCAACCGTTGGTTCGAAAGGTCGTCCCGGAGGGGCTCGTCCTGGGCACGTTGTCCATTTGTGATCACGCGGCCGTGTTTGAGCCCCAGATTGCTTCGACATCAAAAGATGATGTCGAGTTGGCCGCGGGCCTCCAGCTCACGTATCGATGGACGTGGAAGGATGTCGTCGCGGTCTACTTGCGGCGCTTTCGGCTGCGAGAGTCTGCGATCGAGATCTTTCTCCACAACGGCATGGCCCATTTCCTCGACTTCCACGTCCCGGACGTGCCGTCCTCCGTGGCCGTCCGCGACGAGACCGTGCGCATGATCCTGGCCATGTGTCCCCGCACCACGATCAAGCAGTGGCCGAGGATGTCCCCCGGTCGTATTGTGGGGAATCTGACGAAAGCATGGCAGATGCGCGTCATGAGCAACTACGACTACCTCATGGTGCGCTCGCCGCTGTGAATTTCTTGAGCCGCTGACGTTGTGTGCAGGCGCTCAACACCGTGTCCGGTCGATCTTTCAACGACTTGACTCAGTATCCTGTGTTTCCGTGGGTGCTGTCGAACTACACAAGCGACCACTTGGACTTGGCAGATCCTGCCAACTACCGACCGCTGAACCAGCCCATGGGCGCTCTGAACCCCGATCGGTTGGCCGAGTATTGGGAGCGATACCACAGCTTTGATGACCCGGTACGCTGCCTCTGCGCACTCTGGACCATTCACCAACTCGGCGCCAGGTGATTCCAAAATTCTTGTACGGATCGCACTACTCGACGGCAGCGGGGTCGGTTTTGTACTACCTCATGCGGCTGCAGCCGTTCTCGTCCTTGCACAAGTTGACGCAGGGCGGATCGTTTGACCTGCCTGACCGCCTGTTCAACTCGGTCGGCGACGTCTGGACGATGTGCAACTCGAGCATGTCGGAAGTCAAGGAACTCACGCCGGAATGGTTCAGCACCCCGTCGTTTCTGCGCAACGTGCACGGGTTTGACTTTGGCACGCGGCAAGACGGCGTGCGCGTCGGGGACGTCGAGCTGCCTCCATGGGCACACAATGACCCCGAAGAATTCATTCGAGTCCACCGCGCCGCGCTCGAAAGCGACTTTGTCTCGGCCCATCTCCACGAATGGATCGACCTCATTTTCGGGTACCAGCAACGAGGCCCGGACGCGTTGGCAGCAAACAACGTTTTCTACTACCTGACGTACTCGGGCCTCGTCGATCTCGACTCGATCGACGACCCACACCTCCGCCATGCCATGGAGCAGCAGATTGCCCATTTTGGCCAGTGCCCACAGCAGCTCTTTCGCGACCCCCACCCGCCACGCGGCAGCTCGTCGCGGTCCGTGCAAGAGTACCCTCCCCATTTGACGACGTCGCTGAGCGGGCACGCCAGCGTAGTCACGGTCAAGGTGCTGAGCGACCGCGTCTTGGCGGTGAATTCGCTCGGCGGGATTGAATTGCACCACTGGAAACTTGAAAAAGACGGAGACAAGTGGGTCTTCCAAGTCGAGCGCGCCACGAGTCCCGTTGACGTTGTGCCGCGAGTGCCAGTCTACGCAACGTGTGTCTTTCCAGTGTGCATGTCGTCGCAAGGCCGCGTGTGCGTGAGTGGCGGCGCTCCGACTGGCACCATTCACCTCCGCCTCATCGATCTCGACAACGGCCGCGTGTTGGCTCGAGCGAGCGCCGACGGCCACACTGGCATGGTTACGTGCATTGCCATGGACATTCTCGGTGAAGACGAGTTCTTTCTCTCTGGCTCCACGTACGTAGTGTCGTTGCCGTGTGGTTGGACTTTTTCATGACCCACAACAGAGACTGCTCCGTGATGCTGTGGCAGCTCTCCCACATGAACAGCCCGTTCCGCCCGCCGCGGGTGTCGTCCTGCCCCCTCGTGGCATTTCGAGGTCACAAGCGCCGCATTGCGTCGTGCGCGCTCAGCATTCCACTCGGAATCGCCGTCAGTGCCTCCGACACGATGTGCTTGGTGCACAACGTGCACACGGGAGCGGTCTCGTTTGGATTCCAAAGCCCGCCGTGCGCAGTGTTTCAATCGGTCGCGATCTCGTCCAAGGGCTACGTCGTCGCATGTGCTACGGTCCATGAAAAAATCCGCTGTGCCGCTCCTCACACTCGTGCACGGTAGATCAGCGACACGAGCGTTGTCCTGGTGTACAACCTGATGGGGTCTTGCGTCCGCCAGCACTCGATGGAGGTGTGTGGGTCGCTCCAAATTTCCCGAGACGGGTCGTTGGTCACGGCAAGCCTTCCACGGAGTCTGCGGTGCTTCCGCCTCGACGAGTAAGTGCGCCTCGACTCGGTCGCACGCTCGACGGCATTGTTTAGTTTTACCGTCGCGGCCGAATATTCCAACCCCAAGGGCCACATGCACGCGATCTCGTGCTCGGAGATCGGTCCATTCGAAGCCGACATGCTCGCTGTAACTGGCCACGTGGACGGCAGCGTCGTATGGCATGTCCTGCCGGACGCCGACGGTCAGCTGTCGCTGCTCGAGTCGGTCGGGCGCTTTCTCAACTTGAATTCCAAGCTCAAGGTCGTCAAGGGCACTGTCCAGCAAGCCCAGAAACTAGCCATGTCGACGATCGACAACGCCCAGGCCGTGTCCAACACAGCCAAGGACATTGCAGACGAAGCCAAGTCGATGATGCACACGATCTTTGGCCTCTTCAAGTAGAGAATTGCGTCATGACAGACTTTGTGTATTGAACTTGACGTGTATGCTACGTCTGGCGCGTCTGGCGGCGGTGGTTTGCGCGCGGCAAGGCTGGCGAGAGGCCCGAAACAAGGTCGAGCGTCGTCTTGGCGGGCTGGTGGTACTCGAATCCTTGCGAGACCAGGATGAACCCGACCAAGTTGACCACGACGAGCGCGGCAAACACGTAAAAGACACGTTCCAACTGCCCATCGTTGAGGTCGCTCGTGATCCAGAACGAGAAGATGCTGTTTGTCCCGCCGGCCACGAGCGCTCCGAGCGTCGTCGTGAGGAGATTCAGCGCCTGGCACACACTCCGCATCGACTCGGGCACTTCCGAGTAAAACAGGTCGTACGCTGCAACGAATCCCGTGAGAACGACACACACATAGACAAACGCATGCGCTGCTTACATGGAATGTTGACAAGGATCTCGCCAATGCCGATCAAGAGGTACTGCGGAGTTTGCCACCACACGCTCAACGTGGACATGGGCAAGTGTTCGCCGGCCCGGGCGCAGTTCGAGTTGACGTGTGCAAGCACCCCCACATCCTTTCGCCAGACTTCGACGTACCCCGCCGTGAGCATACACGCCATGGCGATGACAAACCCGATGCCCATTTTGCGCAGCAACGTCAACTGGATGCCGCACGCCTCGACGACGGGGTACACCACCGAGTTGAACACTGGCACAAATACCAAGATCACGATCGCGTCGAACATGGACAGCATCGCCGACGAGATCTGCGTCGACCCGACGCGGAGATCCATTTGGCAGCCCTGCATGACAAAGTTCATGTTTTGCTGGGCGTAGACGGCCCAGAACACGATGAGGAAGCTGAAGTACGGCGCGAGTCGCACGACCTGCGCCGCTTCCTTGACTTCGCCCAACGAGTACTGCCCGGTCTCGGCCGCCTCGAGCACCCACGACGTGTCCTGACCAGACGTCATCAGCACGAGCGTTCCGTACACAACCAACCCAGCACCAGCGACGGCAAATGCCATGTGCAACGTCGGGTCCTGGATGAAGTACGACGCGATCGTCGTGACGATGGCGGGAATGAACGCGAGGCCGCCGGAGAGCACGATCTTGCCATGCAACGACTTTGCGCCGGCGCAACACAAAATGTCAACGAACCGACTCAACGCGCTACCCTGGGGCGGCTTCTTGACGTAGCGGTCGCGACCAGCGTAAAAGATGACGACGGCCACGAAGAACGAGACGGTCGGGATCAAGAACGACGCAAAGAACCCGAACGACTCTGGAATCAGCGGCGGCAAGCCTTGCACGGCCAAGTTGGTGAGGAAAATGTAGCTAAAGGTCGACCCGACGTTGATGGACCAGTAGAACCAATTGAAAAAGTCGTCCTGGGTGCAGGCGTGACGGGATGGAAAAAGGCATGGGGGATGGCGTACCCGCTGCTTTCGCTGCGCCGGATCCGTCACGTCGAATTGATCCGCGCCAAGCACGACAACATTGGGTTTAATGCCGCCAACGCCCATCGCAACTCCGCCAAAGAGCCCGGCCATGTAGACCGGAACCGACATGATCGACGGATGCGCGGCGATCGTGCAAACGACAAGACCAGCCAAGTACCACAACGAGAACGACAAGATGCTACAAGTCAGCGATGGACATTCGATGCGATGAACAAAGTGGATTACCTCTTGTAGCGCCCCAAGTACCGATCGGCGACGAACGCTCCAAAAAGGGGCATGATGTACGTGCAGCACGTGAACACGCTGTTGAGCTCCGTGGCCAAAACGCTGCTCATACCGAGATGCTTGCGAAAGAAGATAGGTAGCGATCCTGTGAACCCGTAGTACGCAAAGCGCTCGCAGAACTAAGCATCACGTTCCGTTGACACAAACAATCCGATGACACATCGGCCTTCCCTCGACGGCGAAAAGTACATACCTCAGTCACAAGGATGAACGAGCACACGCTGAGGATAATAGACTTGTACGCCTTCTTGGGGGCATCGCCGTGGACAGCGCCGACGGGAAGCAGGGCGTCCTTTTCCCTCGCGGCGCCTGGGGTAGTCATCGCGTTGCCGATTTGGTTGTGGGATTTTTGTCTGGCGACGTCGCGGGTCTTGAAGTCGCGTTGGAAACCATTTAAAATATTCTTGCCAAAGTATATCCAAGCATCATAATGGCATTTGTATGAGACGTTGTACCATCAAGGACATAATTTGAAATTGGTTTTTAAAACCGTTTCCCATGTTGAACTTCAACCACCACGTCATCGAAACAGACGGGTGACGTTTGAAACGCGTTCCAAACACCTTGAAGCCATCGTCCGGATAAAATGCTTTTTTGGTGGGCAGACTCACAACTCGGCCGACGACATGAAGGTGATCATCGACACGGACGGAGGGCTGGATGACGCGTTGGCGATCTTGACGGCGGTGAATCTGCTCCCACGAGGCACGGTAGTCGCTATCACGACTGTGTTTGGCAACGTGGACTTGCACCAGGCCACCCACAACGTCAAAAAGTGAGTCTTCTTGCATGCCATGGTGTTGTGGCCTTGGCATTGACATGTGCATTCCCAGGGTGCTCGAAGTATCGAAAGACCCATCGATTCCAGTGTTCTCTGGCGCCCATGCAGCACTCGTGTCGTCCGTGAAAGCTAAAAAGTGGGATGTAAGCCCGTCCACATTCCTCCATGCACACCTGGTACTGCAATGAGTCGATGATATTGTAGGGCCACGGACCCGATGGTTTGGGTGGTGCAGCAGGCATCGCTGAAGACAGAGGTGTGACACCGAACGACGCAGTTCCAGCTTTGATTCAATACGCTCAAATGTACCCTGGTGAACTCGTGGTGATTCCCATCGGCCCTGCGACGAACATTGCGCTTGCAATTGCCGCAGACCCCTCGTTCGTCGCAAATGTTTCGGAGGCACGTCTGTCCTTCGCCCCAGTTGTCCATGAACGTGACTCATCGAATAGGTGCTGTACATGGGCTGCACCATCAAAGGCGTCGGCAACATCACCCCTCACGCAGAGTTTAACACCGCGTGCGACCCAGAGGCGTGCCACAAGATGCTGTCTGCGTTCGTCGGGAAAGTCACAGTTGTGGGATGGGAGCTCACTCTCGACCATGGCCTTCCGTGGTCCATCTACCACGAGCTTTGTGCCATCGACACCCCCGAAGCGCGCTTCCTCCGAGCCATTTGCGCGTCCTACGAATCCCACCAACACAGCGTTCCGTTTGTCCTGTGCGATGTTTACACAGCTGTATTGCTCATTGACCCCACTTACGTCCTCCATACAAAGGTATCAAGCTGCTTCTTGTGGACCAAGCCAATCCTTCCTTTAGCTTGCCACGTGCGCTGTCCATCTTCCAGATGGTCCGCTGCGAGGCGCCTGCACCTGGACAGACGCGACTGACCCAGCAACCGCCATCAAAGTTGTATGGCAGGTAGATACCAATCGCTTCGTCAACGTGCTACGTCGGCTCGTGCAAGGCGGCGAGCCCTAGCCTGGATTCACAAAGCATACTTTTGCAACCACAACCTTGTGGCGTGTCATGGAGTGTCCAGGATCGAACCTCATCGCAGCCTTGCGACACTACATCGTACCAAACGCTCCAATGTGCATCATCAGGCTCTTAAGTGGTCAACCAGACAGCTTTCCATGCGGCCACCACACTCCTGAACGCGTGCAGAGCATGCGCAAGCCCGCCCCGCTGCCTCATCCCGCATAGCTGGGATCACGTCCTAAAAATTATCAACTTTTTCCCGTTTTTGGCAAAACGATCAAAATCGAGAGATATTTCGAGGGTTTTCCCCACTACCCCATCAAACGAGCGATGAAACCGCCCGAGAAATTCCCGGACTTTAACAACCTCGTTTCGTCCACTTGGGCCGACATATACAAATTTCAAGAGAAATGTTGTATACGACCTGACCTGGTAGAAAAGATCTCAAAGATCGCACGTGTTGATTTCGAAGGGCTGCATTGTCGTCATTCCCGCAACCAAACCGGCAGCACCACGATGGCTCTCTTCAGCGCGCGCGGGTTGAGCAACTTTATCAGCGAGATTCGGTCGTGCACGAACGCCGAGGACGAGCAGAAGCGCATCGACAAGGAACTCAACAAGTTACGGCAAAAGTTCACCCAGACGGGGCAACTCAACTCGTATGACAAGAAGAAGTATGCATGGAAGCTCATCTACATTTACATGCTCGGCTACGACATTGACTTTGGGCACATGCAGGTTTGTACAACCTGGGCAAGACAGACGTGCAACACGCGTTGCCACCGTCTTTGCGCCGTTGTTTGAGCTTCCCTGACCCGTCGTCTTCGCCTTTCTAGGTGATCAATCTCGTGTCGGGGGCCAAGTACTCCGAGAAATGTCTTGGATATCTTGGCGTATCCATCCTACTGAAGAGTTCCGACGAACTCATGACGTTAGTCATCAATTCGATTCTGAATGATCTCTGTTCCCCCGACGCGTCCTTTCAATGCCTCGCGCTGTGCTGCGTTGCCAACCTCGGAGGTACCGTCCATCTCAAACCACATTCTCCTTTCCACTCGTCACGCCCCATTCGTCAGGCATGGAATTGTGCGAAACCCTCGCACCACATGTGGTCAAACTACTCATGAGCTCGAGCAGCATTTGCCACGTCCGAAAGAAGGCAGCGTTGTGCTTGCGCCGCATCATCCCGGCCATTCCCGACGTTATCTTGCCTGAGGAGCTCGAGCCACGCCTGCAAACGTACTTTTCCTCTAGTCGCACACCCTCGCCAACCCCTGACACCGCTTCGAAGGTTGATGGAAGATCGTCATCTCGGTGTCGTCACGAGCGCCGCGGGCCTCCTCCAAGTAGCGCTCACACAAACGCCGACGGGCTACAAGTCGCTCATTGAAGTCGTCATCGAGCGGCTCGCTCAGCTCGTGCACAACAAGGTACACCTTGCCGCCGCTTCGAGTCTGTCGTTTCATTCGTGCCGGCGTCCGTAGAGCTGTCCCCGCGACTACATGTACTACTCGACCCCTTGTCCATGGCTTCAGATCAAGCTCCTTCGCATCCTGCAACAGTTTGGCGCGATCGAGGACGTTCGCCTCAACGAAAAGCTCAACGACACGCTGCGAAAGATCCTGGGCCGACCGAGCCCTGGCAAGGGCGCCAAGAACAACGCGATTTACGCCGTCCTGTTCGAAACAGTCAACCTCGTGATTGCCCAGGGGAAGCGCGCCGACCCGAAGCTCCACGAGCAAGGCATCCAACTCCTCGCGCGGTTCATCTCGGTGAGCGAGCCCAACATCCGATACATCGGGCTCGACTCGATGAACCGTCTCGTCCGCCTCGAAGGCGCGTCGGAAGCGATCCGCCAGCACAAAGCCACCGTGATCTTCTCGCTCAAGGATGCCGACAACAGCGTGCGTCGCCGGGCGCTGGATCTCCTCTTTGCCATGTGCGACCACTCGAACGCGCTCGAGATTGTCGGTGAACTTGTCACGTACTTGGCGGTGGCGGATTCGACCATCCGCGACGAGATTGTGCTCAAGGCGGCGATCCTGGCCGAACGGTACGCCAAGGACTTGCGTTGGTATGTGGACACTGTGCTCCAGCTCATCACGATCGCCGGCGCGGATGTCCCGGACGACGTCTGGCATCGTGTTGTGCAAATTGTCACCAACAACGAGGACCTGCAAAAGTACACGGCGCAGGTCATGTTTCGCGCGTTGGAGCCCAAGCACGTGGACGAGACAACCGCCAAGGTACGACGGCATTGGGGACGGCGCCGCACCCTCATCGGTAGCGACTGTTAGTTTGGCGCGTACGTGGTGGGCGAGTTTGGATTTTTGAATGTGGACGAGCCAGACATGTCGAGCACGCGCCAGTTTGACGTGCTGCTGCAGCACTATACGACGGGGTCGATCGCGACCAAGTGCCTCATCTTGACGGCATTTATCAAGATGGACAACCTGTTTGAAGAGATCCGACCGCGCATCCTCGACGTGTTCAAGAAGGGCACGTCCCACGTCGACTTGGAAGCTCAGCAGCGCGCGTGCGAATACTTTACGCTGCACCACTCGGGCGACGACATCATGAAGAACGTCCTGGAGCCGATGCCCGTGTTTCCAGATACCCGCGAGTCGAACCTTGTCGTGCGCCTTCGCGCGCAACAAAAAGCGGCCGAGGTGCGTGGCTGTCGGCTGGCCGCATTGCACGGTTTGATGGATGGCTAGGGCGGCGACGAGGCGGCGGCGTCCCCCGATGAGCGCGACAGTGCCGCTAGCCCTGCTCCCCATGGCGGGAACGACGACTCGTCCGATTTGTTGGGGCTGTCCAGTCCAACGAACCACAACCAGCAGCCGCGCCAAGGCAACGACAACGGCGTGGGTGATGTCTTTCGAGGGAAATCCAACAGCGGTGTCGACCCGAACAAACTTGCCGCCTGGTTCAACAAGATTGTGGCGACAAACCAAGGCGTCCTGTTCGAGAACGACGTGATCCAAATTGGCGTGAAGCAGGAGTTCCGTGGGTCCCAAGGCCGATTGGGACTGTTTTATGGAAACAAGAGCTCGCAGCCACTGACGGGGTTGAGCCTGAACGTGAAGAACGTGCCAAGTTTGCGCACGCAAGTGGAGGAAGTCGCCAAGGAGCTAGCGCCCAAGCAACAGCTCAAGCAGCAGGTCATGGTCGAATGCATGCAACCGTTCATTCAACCCGTCGAAGCTGTGTTCACGTACACGTCGGGGTCGCAGCAGACGTCACTCGACCTCAAGCTGCCATGTGTCGCGACGAGCTTCCTTGAGCCCGTCAAGCTCGGGCTAGACGATTTTCACAAGCGTTGGAGTGCGTTGGAGGGCCAGGTGTGTTCTTTGTCGTCGACCTCGATCGATCGTACGAGGGCTGACTGGGGAGTATAGGGCCGAGAACAACAAGACGCATTTCCTGCCAAATGGGACGTCCAAGCCGCGTCCAAGTTGCTCGTCGACGTGATGAAATTTGGTCTGGTCGACGTACGTATTCGACGTCGATCGGGTGGCGATGGTTCTGAATCGAAGTATACAATAGGGAGCGGACGTATCGGGCGGTCTGTCGATGGCAGCCACGTTTCGCACGGGCACGTCGTCTCCGTCCGGCGAGAAGATCTCGGTCGGGATTCTGGTCAAGTTGGAAAGCCAAGGCAACTCGTACCGAGTCACGGTGCGTGCGGTGCATCCTGACGTAAGTGTCGCGGTCAAAAACAACGTCAAGCTCGCGTTGGCCTAGTCCGTGCAGTCAGTCGAGTTCTGTTTCGTTCCATATCTTTATACGAACGTGCATGCACATGCGAGCCGTGT